AGGAAGCATAAAATAATATTTATGAAAACAAAATATTTGACTTGAATTCATTAGGTAACAGTTGTTGTCACCACAAGAGGAAACGGAAGGCAATGAAACAATTATTTCTAAATTAGAATGAATATAACCAACTTAAAATAGTATTTCCCTGAACGTAAGGTCATTTTAAATTGGGAAAAAACTGTTTTTTTCAGATGTGTGTTCTAGGTTTTGCCCCAAATTGGTAGTACAGGTAGTTCTCAATTTGCAACCACAATTGAGCCCTAAAGTTATGTTGCTAAGTGAGAAATTTGTTAGGTGAGTTTTACCCTATTTTATGACTTTTCTTACATTTGTTAAGTGAATCTTTGCAGTTGTTAAATTAGTAACACGGTTGTTAAGTGAATCTGGTTTCCACATGGTCTTTGCTTGTCAGAAGGTCACAAAAGGGGCACTGGCCCGACCCCAGGACACTGCAACCATCATAAATGTAAGTCACTGTCAAGCATCTGAATGTATATCATGCGACTGTGGGGATGCTGCAACAATCCTAAGTGTGAATAATGGTAATTTGAACGGTCACTAAAAAAACTATTGTAAGTCAAGGATTACCTGTACAAGTTTTCCACTACTTAGTCAACAAGGGCTTTTGTGTAGCTATACTTTATATTGTTTTTATTGTTTTCAGGTGGGGAGAACATCAATTTGGTTAAGACAACATCAATTTGGTTAAAACAGGGGGACTCTGAGTTCTAGTTCTGCCTTAGCCACGAAAGTCAGCTGGGTGACTGTGGGCCACACACTGTCTCTCAACACAACTTACCTCACAGGGTTGTTGTTGTTGTGGGGAAAATAAAAGGAAAGTGCATTGTATATGTTTGCTGCCTTGAGTTATTTTTGAAAATAATAAAGGCAGAATTAAAATAGATAAATAAATAAATTTGGCCATTCCATTTTACATTCTAGGGATGACATGATAGCAGTGTTCCAATATCTCAGGGGCTGCCACAGAGAAGAGGGGGTCAAGCTATTTTCCAAAGCCCCTGAAGGCAGGACAAGAAGCAATGGATGGAAACTAATCAAGGAGAGAAGCAACCTAGGACTAAGGAGAAATTTCCTGACAGAACAATTAATCAGTGGAACAACTTGCCTCCAGAAGTTGTGCATGCTCCAATACTGGAAGTTTTTAAGAAGAGATTAGATAACCATTTGTTATAGATAGATAATTATAGATAGAGATTAGATAACCAATGGTTTCATGCCTAAGCAGGGGGTTGGATTAGAAGACCTCTAAGGTCCCTTCCAACTCTGTTATTCTATTCTATTCTATTCTATTCTATTCTATTCTATTCTACTCTTACACACATACATTTTACATTCTCCATAGAATGCTTTAAGATGCTGCTTTCTGCAACTACTCATTTCCACTAGTGCCTTTGGAAGTTGGGATTAACTGTAAGGGTCCCTGGTGCTCTCTGAGCTTGGGTGTTTTCTTGCAGACATTTCCTTACCAAACTAGGTAACACCATCAGTGCTGGAGGATATTAAATTAACGTTTAGCCAGTTTCCCTTTCTAAAGGGGAAACAAATGAGAAGCAGTTAGGTTTCTGAAAAGATGCGTATTGCTAGTAAGGTAATATAACAGGATCTTGAAAGCCTATCAAAACAGTTCTCCTGCTTAGGTTATACCGAGCATAATTAAGCCAGAGTTACTCATGCTTTCCCCTCCCCTTGCTGTGGTGTTTCTTGTGCAAAGTCCTGTTTCCTCTTCAGCTTTCCCAGGGCCCATGAGCCAAGCCCTCACAGCCTGTGACCTATTATCCAGGCTACTACTAAAAGTGAAGTAACTTCTCTGGAAGATTGGTAAAATTCTGTCCAAAATTAGTTCATCTGATAAAAGGAAAGGGGCCGAGGTGAGAAAGGGAGAAGGCTCAGGGTGAAGCATGAGAAGCTCTTTCAATGTGCTGAGTTAATTTTCTCCAATTTTACAATTGTTCTTTGCCCCACCAACCTATCAGATGGACTATTTTTAGAGACAGATTGACTGGTTTTCCAGAAGACCAATAGGACCATGTTTACACAAGAATTCAAGTAATAATTACTTCATGGAACACTTTTGATGTGACATCTTCTTGCACAGGGAACTTGAAACATGGCTGTAGTTTCCATCCCAGGCACCTAGCTCACTTGTTACTCAACATGCTGGCCAGAGAATCCTGGGAGTTGCTCAGCTTGAAAAATGCTGACTTAACCGTTCTGCTCAGACCTGCCGCTGACGTCAATTGCTGATGGGGTTTTTTCCCCTCTCTGTTGGCTTTGTGATGTTGGGTGAGAAAGCAATCGAAGCTTGGGAAGTTTACCCATCATTTCCTTCAAATTGTCCTGCAGTAAAAGTTTAAAACAGAACCATTCACAAGCCTTGTTAGCGAGTAAGATTTGTACAGATTCAAGAGGGAAGAAGCTTGAGACATTGAAAAACCTTTGTCCTGGGCTTAGAGAATAGGGTAACAAGGAAACACCATCTTAATTTAGTTATATATTTACTTCCCAGTGACCTGTCATTAGCTGTCTCCTTTTTTTCTGAGAGCAAGTCTTAATGGTATTGTAATGAGAGATCTTTGGGAGATAAATGGCTTTGTTTGGGAGAGTTGTGCATTTATTTCCTATCGCAACGAATATGATCTGACAATAAACACCTGCTTTCCAATGACTGCTATAAAATTTTGCATTATATAACCTCATTGCCTGGGGAAGACCAATCTCCTTTACTTCAGCAAACTCTTTATTATTAATAACAACACAATGCTGTCTTGTGTGATAGCTCTCCACCATTCCATTGTTTTGATTTGGGCTTGTTTTATTTTTATATTCCATAGCAAAAAGGAGAAACACTGCTCAAAGATGTTTGCATTTTATACCCAATTATTTCATTTTTCTTTCTGCTGCTCCTAGAAGTCTTGTTTGAGATGACGAGGGAGGTATTTAATGAACAGAAATGAATATTTTATGATAGGAATAATGTGCACTCTCTTGCTAGAGTAGGGGTAGCAATAAATTGACATCCACTGGAAACCAAAAATAGGAGTGATATAAGAAAGAGTAAGAGAAAAAGCACATTAAATCTGTCATCCTGATTTGCAGAAACATGATTCTGGAATCACAGTGTCAATAGCATTCATTGCCTTGCATCCAATACTACTTATTCACATTTAAATTAGGATTGCTTTAGGTGACTTATCTGTAGGCAGTTGTGTTTGTCTACTACATATTCATGTTAGAGAAACTGAATCTTCCTGAGAAAATATTTTGAAGTTGCTTCAGTAATAAAACAGTAAAAGAGTAAGATAGGAATACTACTATCTATCATTATTTTCTGGAGAGAAGCATTTTGATGAGGCACTTTTATTAGATGCGTGCTACAATTTTTCAAAAAACAAGAATTCTCAAACTAGCTATTCCTGTGAGAGTTAAAGAAGTTAATGGCATGTATATATGGGTAGGGGTTGAGGCAATTTTAGTATATCCTGTTCCCTTTTGAAGTATATGGTGGCAGATAGCAGCAGGGTTTTTACTACAATACTATCTTCTAATCTTTGTCCCATTTCCTTCTTTGGTGTAGGTTTTTTTTGGGGTGGGGGCTGTATACATATATGTATGTTGCTATTGTTACATTAAATTACCCACACCAAGTAAGTCCAAATATCTGATTTTTAAATTATACCCACTTGGTGACTGCACCACTACAATATATATATATATTGTATATATTAATTTAAAAGGGCAGGATACTTGTATGAACAAATTGCATATGCTTCTTTGCATGATGGGCGGAATAAAAATCTGATACATAAAATAACTACAATTCCTGATCCTCAGATGTCAGAATCAAAGGGTATGCCTTAGAACAGTGTTTCAATTTAGGATAATCACATATGTTATTACTGCTGCCATGGAAAGCAGAATAGAGTCCAAATGATTAATATCAGCGGGAGATGCTAACAGGGCCCTTTCTGTCTGATAATAAATCCGTTTTGCCTAGGGATACATTTGCTCTGCATAAGAAAAGAGCTGAGTGCTGGAATAATTAGAATCTTGCACAGGGGAATAATCTGAGTATATTCAGCAAGTGATGTTTTAGTTATTATGATCATTATCATGTGGCAGTTCTGGTCATTTGAATCTTCTATACTGGCACACAGTCAATCATCACCTTAGAGTTGTTACTGTCAACAGGAAAAAAAAACCCAAAGCAAATTATACTGAATACTGAAAAATGTGGTTTGTCTTTCAAAACTTTCAGAAGAGATTCTACATAGCTAGACCTGAAGTAGGTGTCTTAACTTTATTTAAATGTGAATGACCTAGAGATTTGTTTGGGACTCCGTACACATTTTGAGATATATAATTCCTTCAGATATTATGGTCTTTCTGCTTTTTGATTAAAGGGTTGATATTTAATTGTTAATCCTTCTTTCTGGTGTTCCCCCATCCTCAGTTGCACACGTTTTATTAAAGCAAACTAATGAAAATAACCCCAGTTTAATGGAAAATTGTTGAACCCCCCCACTCTCTCTTATAGATCAAATTCCTAGTGTTACCATTTCTGGCTTAGTACAGATAGCAGCATCTGGCTGACTGAATAATCTTCAAAAGCATAAACCTGGTTAGTTTTTGGATAATCATAAAAAAGAATCAGAGCAGGAAACTAGATGTAAAATTTAAAAAAATTCATATTTTTGCTAAGAAAACAATATGAATAAATCCATGTGGTTCTCTGGAGTGAATTTGATAAAGAGAAACATATTTTTTAAAAAATTATTCACTGATATTTTGAGAGTATTTACTAATAATTGCTTTCAATTGCATTGCATATTTTCTTTTTAAATACACCTCAGTCACTAGTGTTGCAATTTTTTTTTTTTTGGGGGGGGGGGAAGAATCTTGATTCTAAAATCTTTTAAAAAATGAATGGTAATCTATATTTTCTTTTTAACATTTTGTTGTTGTGTTCTTCATTCCAGGTAGCCAGCTTGGTGTCTGCAGAGCAATTTCAATTGTACAAGCAGTTGAAATTTGAAAGAGGTGATTTTTTTTTACATTAATATGTAGGGGTTCAGATTGCATTGTTAAATTCACAAAATGGCAAAGAAGATGTCTACTCAAAAAGAAGTCTCATTTAGTTCAATGGCACTTAACCTTGGGTAAATAGTTATAGAATTGCAGCCTAAGATATAAATTATATATATTTGCTAGCAGAGAAAATCAGAGAAAAGGGGGAAGAAAAGAGAAAAAAGTCAGTTGCTCTTCCAAGCTCAAAATCTCTGAGCTTAACATACCATAGTCCAAATCTCAGTCCTAAAACCAAAGAATATATAGCTTTACTGCTATAGATTTACAGTGATAAAATATTTACAATCCTTAATGAACCAATGGGATTCATTCTGAGAAAAGTGCTTTAGTGCGCACCCTCTGCAGATCAGATTAAGGAAGAAGATTGCCACTCATCCCCTGATCAGAAATCATAACATTTCTCTGATGCAAAGTGTGGCTGATGGCAGCAGGGTTATGCAAAGAGATTTGTAGACTCTTCATGGGAATCATCAAGGGGCACATACCATGTGCATGGATACACACACTTTCTACTCACATGTGTGTGAGTTTTTTGCCATGGGAAAAATGTAACCCTTGTGGTCCGTTCTTCATAGTGTTGAATGCTCTTTCATTGCCCGGTGTCCGTTGAAATGGGGATGCAATAAATTTAAATAAATTACTAATAATAAGCCATTTGAAAGATTAATCCATAAACTGACAGTGGCGGTCCCAGTGGTTATCAGCACACTGGATGCTATATCAAAAGATCTTGGATGACACTTAGAAAATCAGCATCTTGACAAATTTTTCATCTGTCAGTTACAAAGGACTACACTGCTTGGATCCATGCATGTACTACGCCAGTTCATTAGAAAATTCTAGGTTCTTGGGAAGATGAAGGCCAATATCAGCTAAAGAACTAGCAGCAATATTTATAATAATAACATTTTGTTTTTAATAATAACATTTTATTGTCAATGTTTTAAAAACATAAAATTGCTTTCCTTTATTTCTTACATAACGTAGTCCAATAGACTAGAAATAGAATTTCCTTTTATTCCCAAGCTAGAATTCCTGCCATGATGCTCTAGTAATTCTTTCTCATGTGAAATGAATTACCGGTACATGATTTTTTTGAGGATGCTTGCAGGATCCAGACCACAGCTGGGTAGACTCTGATGTAATGAAAGAACAATCCCCGATTTGTTTCCTGTAGGGTGCTGGATATTCAATTACTTTTCAGAAACAACCTCACATTTCCCTAACATATTGGACAATAAGGAAACTCATGCTAGGGAAATCAGTCAATTTTTTTCCATCTTACACTGAGGGTATATTCATAGTTGTCAAACTGGAGCCTGCAGGCAGGATGTGTCACGCGCAGACCATGCCCACCCCGGCTTGGCAAAGGCAAAAAATGTCACGCTACGTCATGTGACACGATCAAGTTTGACACCTGTGGTTTAGATGAAAACAAGATAGACAAGATGGATAAGAAATGTTCTCTTTTTCTAAAATATGCTGGTAGATATAAACCAAATCATATCCCATGTTTATAAGTTTTGTTTCTTTTCTGATTGTATACATCTTTCACCTTTTTAAAAGCTTATGTTTTGATCTGTAACATTCCCCAGAAGTGCACTTGGATCCACTGAGGACCTGGTGTCCCTCTGCTAATTGTCAGACTGTGTGCCAAATTGAACCAAGCGACTCTGGATTACCGGTGCCTATAAAATGTCAGACGTGTTACTTGACATTCTGTTCATCGTGCAAAGAGCCTTGGCACGTGGAGGGATCATGCTCAGAAGGCCATTTGATGGGGATTGCAAGTGAGCAAGGGTAAGAGAAGAAACCGTCTAGCTCTTGCAAAATCTTTATATCATTTAAATCGTTATAAATACTATATTTCTTTAGCAAGAAATTACATTTCTGACACTGCTTCAATAATGCAATTAATTAATTGTTTGCTAGCTGAAGGGAAGACATTCTGTGCTTTGACTAAGGCACCTGAAGTATTTGATGTGCTCCTTTCATCATTCTTGATTCTGGAAGGTCTGTTCCAGCTAGACTGGCTTTTTGTCAGCCCAAATGGCAGATTTAGGGATCAAGGTTAGCTAGACAATATAGCAATTTCTTGGTGGGCATTTCTTGGTGCAATGGAAGCTGTTGCCTGGGCATAATTTCAGCAGAGTAAATACAGGAAATTAGTTAAGGGCTGTTTTGTACCTTATGAGGAAGCAAGGATGAGAAATATATTTTATTTTCATATCAACTGGTTAACACAGAATACTAAAGCAGAAATATTTTCCCAGTGGAGGAAATATTTGAATGCCAACATTGTCCAAACATTAAATACAACAACAAAATAAATGGGGATCCGTCTGTTATTTTTGCACATGTTTGCAAAAGTTGAATAATTGTTGCATAAGGGAAGTGCTTTTCTCCAGATGAAGCACATTTACATGGGTTAATATTGTTCTAGGCCAGGGGTCTCCAACCTTGGCAACTTTAAACCTGGAAGACTTCAACTCCCAGAATTCCCCGGTCAGCTTTTCTTTGGAGACCCCTATTCTAGGCAATGTGCTTCAGTTCAGTCTGAATGATTAGGGAAATAGCCAGAGTACCCTTAAGTCTGTTTCAGAGGGGTTTTCCCCCCACTTTTCCCCTTTCTTTTCTAGAACGCTTATTAAAAACAACTCAGAAGCTCTAATTAAACAATGTCCAGTTTGTCGGATCCATATTGAACGGAACGAAGGCTGTGCTCAAATGATGTGTAAAAATTGCAAGCACACATTTTGCTGGTACTGCCTACAAAATTTGGATGTGAGTAGTCTCTGGCAAAAAGGTTTTTCTCTATAGTTGTTTCATGGTTCTAGATAGGAAGAACCGATGCTTAAAATGATTAACTTTCCATGATTGCATCTCATTGTTTTCCTTCTGTTTTCTTTTGAATTCTGCATCCAAATCTTATGGCAGCAGATCTCAGACATAAAACATTTGATAAGGTTAAATGGAGTTTTGCAAATGATACATCTTCCTTTTTGTTCAGCTTTACTAGAACTTGCTCCTCATTTCCCAGTGATTTTCCTGCTTTATAAAACCTAACTTTATAAAAAGTGCACTGAGCAATTGCTTCATAGAAGGTTAATTGGTGTCAAAGTGTTGGTGACAGTAATTTTTGTGAAATCCCAAGTTTATAAAATAGAGCTGGAGGAAGCCTAAAACCTCATGTTGCCACTTTATTACCCAAGAAGATTGAACTTATACATGACGGCGTATTATTTTGCCTTTCAGAACGACATCTTCTTAAGGCATTATGACAAAGGTCCCTGTCGAAATAAACTGGGCCATTCACGAGCCTCAGTTATGTGGAACAGAACACAGGTATGCCAATAACATGGATTTGTGTTTATTATAAGTCAGTTTGGTCTTGTGGTTTTAAAGCAGCAGGCTGGAAATTGGGAGACCCTGAGTTGTAGTCCCACCTTAGGCATCAAAAGTGACTGATTGACTTTGGGCCGGTCACTCTCTCTCTTAGCCCAATTCACCTCAGAAGATTGTGGGGAAAATAGGAGAAAGAAGGAGTATTCAGTATGTTTGCAGGCTTGAGTTATTTAAAATAATTAAAATTTAAAAATAATAAAAGGCAGGATAAAAATAATCAAAAAATAAGCTTCGGTGGTGTGTAGCAGGGGTGTCACTCGATTTCATTGAGGGCCATATCAGGGTTGTGTTTGACCTCGGGGGGCCAGGGTGGATATGGCTGGGATAAGCGGGCCCCATTTTTGCAGGCAGAGTGCTGCAGGATGCCCTCACGGCTGAAAACGGAGCCCAGGGGGCCATGCGTTGGTCCCCTGAGCCCTGTTTTCACTGGCAGAGGGTTGCAGGAGACCATCACAGCTGAAAATGGGGTTTGAGGGGGCTGCACATGGCACCCCAAGCTCCATTTTCGCTGGTAGAGGGAGGCAGGAGGCCATCATGGCCGAAAACGGGGCCCTGGAGGGCCGTGCATGGCCCTTCCAAGCTCTGTTTTCACTGGCAGAGGCACCACAGGCCAGTTCTTTGTATCCAGCCCACAGGCCTTGAGTTTGACACCCCTGGTGTATAGATATAAATATAGGGTTTTCATAGATATAGTGTTTTCCTTTTTTATTTTTTATTTCTTCTTTTCAATATTTAGGTTGTTGGCATCCTAGTAGGCCTGGGAATCATCGTTTTGGTAACATCTCCATTACTGCTCTTAGCTTCGCCGTGCATCATTCCTTGCATCTGCAAATCCTGCCAAAGCAAGAAAAAGAAACACGGCCCACCACCAACATAAAATGTTCTGCCTATTTTGGATGTGAATGTCTATTGTGTTTGTCAGGAAGAAGACTAATGGTTGACATCTTGCACTGTGCTTTACCAACCAATGCTCCTTCGTTTTGCCAACTTCTGTAAAAAGTGCCTACTGGTTCACAGGTTGCCACTTTATTTGCAAGCTGCAGTTCAGGGGGGGTGGGGGTGGGGGGGTGAGGGGGTATTTGTTGTGATCTGGGTTAATTCTGTTTTTTTCATTTTTTAAAATGGAGCCAGACTTGTAAGATATTTTAAGGCGTTTCAGAATGACTGCTTTGTTGAAATCAGCACATGAAATTGCAGCTGTTCAATAGATTCTGAATGGCTATTGATTTTCAGAAACCTTGATACTGTATCTCCTGAAGAAGTTGTGCAGTTGAGTAAGAAAATAAAATGTGTAATCCCCCAATTTTAAAAGAAAATGTTGGTTACTTAAAATTTTAGATTTCTAGTGTGGATTTAGTGGCTGTTAAAAAAACCCTCAATTCTTTAAAGTTATTGTACAACTTTTTATTTTTTTTAAACAAAACTATAACTAAAACTCAACTGTTGAAAATCACTGATAGATCATCTTGCCAATTTACACTTTTTTTCAAAGGCAAGTCAGGTCAAATAATTTATTTAAAATAAGTTCTACTTGGCTACAGCACCAAAACCAATATGAGTCTGGTCATACATTGAAAGCATAAAATGCTGAGCAGATCACCCTATTTGTATCACCCTGGCCTATAAATTAATTGTTTCCAAACAGTTGATAAATCTGGAGTGCTAGTTGAGATGCTAGCTTTGGTCCAGAAGTTGGAAGTGTAGCATAACTGACCTGAATGTGACATAACTCCAAGGGTGGGACTCCACCAGACTGGACTACTTCAGACGAACCATTAGTTCCGGTGACTGTTTGGCCCCACCTACCCATCCCTGGTCTTTGTTGTGCTTTATTTCCTGGTTTTTTAGCACAGCTGATTTGCGTGACGGAGCAGTTTGCCGCACCTCAGCTGTTTCAGTCACCGGGGCTGCAGTAGAAGGTAAGTAATTCAGTTGAAAATGGGCTTTTTAAAACGTAGAGCATGCGTGTGAAGCACGCGTTCACCGAACCAATTGTTATACCGGTTGAATCGCACCATTGCATAACTGGGTCTTTATTTATTTTTCTCTAGATTTCATTATTACTATCTTATTCCTCATAGCTGAAGTTTAGCAGAGGAGTGAAAATGATATTGAGACATAAGGAGTTTGATCATCAGTGGGAACAACTGAACTTGCCAAAATGTTTGCCTTTGTAGACATACTGTTCAGTAAAGAATAATAAACCAAGGATATGATCCAAATAAATATTGTTGCAACAGATAGTAGCCATTTTGTTGAGCTAGGGAGAAATTGTGAAAATAACACAGTGTTCTCTGAACAAATGTTTGTAAGTTGTGGATGGCCTGTGTATCTAAAACAAAACTGTGAAGATAACATACAGCTCAAAACAAGTTCCACGTGAAAGCGTAATTAATGAATCTAATTTTCAGATGAAGTAACCACTTTCCCATGTTGGAGTATCTGTTATCTTAAAACAGATCCTCAGCTAGTGTGAAACCAAAAAAAGGCACGCCTTGAAAACATTGGAAAAGAACAAAGGATGATGGAGAATATCCAGCTCTGCAATCTTGGTTACAAGAAAATATTTCTCTATTCTGATTCACCCCACCCCATTCTATAAGAAAAGGTGGCATTACATAGATAAGTTTATGTATCCTGTGGTACATAATCAAATACATCAAGGGAAGCCATGTATGTTTCATAATGCTCAAAATGTTGTCTAATGTCATAATATTGTCTGGACTTCTACAAGAATATTTTTTTTTAATAAGCTTAAATTATTGGATCATTTACTGTAGAAATAAATTGCCGTATCATCAAGGAATGTTTTAGTTAATAGAATATTTTGTGATTATATTATCTCACGTATTCCTTATAAAACAGCAATATTCTATCTAGCATGGTGACTGGGGAATTCTGGGAATTGAAATCTGCATATTTTAGGATTGGTGAGGTTGAGAATCATTGAACTAGAACTACCTGACTTGTATGCATCTATTTTTTTTTTGTTATCTAGCTTGATAGTAAAATATAAGGCTTAGAAGCCTGGCCAGTGTAAAAATTTAATAAGTAATAATAATTAGGACTTGAATCTTTAGTATCTGAATGAAAAGGGAGAGGGCAAAGGAACCACAATGAAGGACTAGTTCTCCTACTGTAAGTTTCTATTTACATGTCCCCAGTTCTTTTTAGAATTAAAATGGATGAAATTTATAGGAAATCAATATGACAAAATGTTTACCAGAAAACAGCAGCCGATTAGATTGAGGATGTGTATTTCTTTTCTTTATTTTTCTTTGTGTAAAACTTGTTAACATGAATAAATAAAACTTATTTTGACAAAAAGCTATTGTCCCTCTACAGGAAAGGGGTTTTCACTGTTTTAAAGCCTACTGCTGTCTTCAATAGACATCTGAATAATTTTTCTGTGCATTCAGAATTAAATGGAAAATAGCAGGAAATAATGGGCAAAAGTGCGTGCTTTTATTTCTACTGTGCATTCTCTCAGGTAAAGAATGGCAAATGGATATTATAGAAAATATATTTAGGTTGGGGGGGAAATTAGACATCCTGTAGACATTCACAGAGGTTATCATGCTAATGAGGGATTTCAAAAAGGAGATAATTGACTGTTGATGTTTATTTAAGCTAGTACAATTTTATTATTCTCTTAGTGTAATGAAGGTACAAGGCTATATGATTTTTTAAAGGATTAATTAGAAACTGTGCAGGAAGAAAGTGCAAATGTTCTAAGTTATTTAATGATTCAGCATTAGAAGTTTTTAAAAACAGAAGTCTGTATTTTCTTTCTTTTCTTCTGTTTTTAAAGTCATAGCATACAATATGCGCAAAATCAAAAATTCAGCAAAGCTTGGCTTCAGCAAGCAGCTTTTAAAAGAGACTGTAAATATTTAGCTTTGTTATTAGAAGACATTTCAGTATGATCACATGATGCGTTGCGGGTCCCACTACCGGGATGAATTAGTCAGCTGACGACCTGCACCCGGGCAGACTGTCCGGGCAGGCTCCTCTTAGTGGCAAAGATGACAGCGACACAAAGGTTTATTTTGGTGAGAGGAAGCACAGATAGTACTACGCACCTCTCTTTTATTGTGCAGCAAGCAGGGGGGGGGTTATGTTACACATGAGGAAGTTAGACAGGAATAGGGAATATTGCCATATATGGCTACACCTTATGCTATAGCCAATTCATGTTTTACACGTTGCTGTTCCACAGTGTCGCCCTATATGTGTATTGTATGTATATTGGGTTTTCTGTGTACGTGACTTCCTACTGATGTGTCATGATATTGCAACATCTCCTCTGTTTTTTATTATTTTGAGACCTCTCTATTCTTTATGCTGCAAGATCTAGTCCTCCTCCGAGTCCAAGTCCTGCCGGCATATTAGAATGCGAGGGCCGTCTCCTTTTTCTGGGTATTCATCTTCGTTCTCCTCCGAGTCCGAAGTGAATGCCAGTAGAGACCTTTTTTCTGCTGGAGTGTTGATCTTGGACCTTATTTTTACAAGCATGTTTATGTTGGTAATCTCAGTATCAATAATGGCCAGTCGTTTTTTGAGGAATTGCATTATTTTCCCAAATACACAAGGGCCCATGGCACACAGCAATAGGAGCAATATTAATGGTCCGGCAATTGAGGAAAGAAGTGTTGTGAGCCATGGGGAGAAATTAAACATATTATGATACCAAGTGTTACCTGCTTCCCTTTCCCTTTTGCGTATTTCCAACCGCTCTTTTAGTTTATCTAATGAATCTTGTACTAAGCCGGTATGATCAGCATAGAAACAACATTCTTCTTTTAATGCTACACATAGCCCTCCTTCTTTTAAAAACAACAGATCAAGGCCCCTTCTATTCTGCAAAACAACTTCTGATAAGGATGTAAGAGATGTTTTAAGGTGAGAAATAGACTGTTCGAGAAGTTCAAGATCTTTGTCTATATCAGCACACAAAGTTTGGTATTGATTATTACTAACTGCTAGACCGGCAATTCCCATAGCAGCACCTGTAGCTCCTAGTCCTAGTAATACAGCAAGGGTAAGGGTGGTGACTACCTCTCTCTTAGGACGAGCAAAATTGGTGTTATCCTGCAGAAAGGTTTGGCCGGAGTGGTAAGTTATTTTTGGGACTATTGAAACGAGAACACAGTAACCATTCCTTTGAGTGATGGTGGGGCCGTGAGCACAAGCGGTGAGGCCAGTGTCACAGGCCCACCATGAATTGTTGTCCGGAACAAAATACAAGTTCTGAAAAACAGTAGTGAAATTCCCACCGGTACTCCAAAGTGCCCTTGAAGTACCATTGAGCCATAACTAAGTCTGGTTACAATGATGACTTGTGGTGTTAGGTACATTTCCCAGGCAGTATCCTGTCCCTATAATGTTACCAATGGTTTGAGTACCTTGTGACCAACGACAAGATGAAGGTGAGTTTTGGGCAGTGAAATTGGTGGTGCTACCAACAGCCTCATAGTAAGGGGGGCCTGCATTAAGACACAGCCAACAATCATTGGTAATTGCAGGGTTGCTGGCATTGAGGAGGAGGTAACTAGAGTTTATTAACCGTAGCAAAGGTTGGGGAACTGTATGGACTGGACGATATTCTACCAAGGATATGTTTCTATTGGGACCTACTTGGATAGCGGGCCGCTCAATGACGAGTTTTATAGTAAAGGTATTGCCATAGTCGTACCCATCAGCATAAATCCGGATTCCCCAGGTAAGACCCGCCTCCCACCGTGTAGTCAGCCTTTTCCCTCCCGCTGAAAACAGAATATACATGGGATTACATGGAGTCCATATGCCCCCTGAGGGGCAATCAGCTTGATGCCAAGAACCATTTTGGAAGGCAAAGATATAATCGTCTTTGATCAGTGGTGACCAGGAGATAGAACCGGTGGAGAGACATGACCAAGCGGCACAGAAGGCGTCTGCGGGGCCTCTGCAAACGCGAATGTTCTCGCGAGTCTGCTTATGTCCAGGGCAAATATAAAATCGATAGTGATGGACGAATCCCGGAGAAGGTGTGGGTGTCTCGGTCATGCTGGTGTAGGCGGTGAGGCCTACCAATATCTGTCCGACGTCAGCTTTGAGGGTAGGCCACCAGGTGTATGGGTGAGTGGTGTTGCTGATGGAAAATAAGACACGATCGTAGGCATCATATATTGTCCAAGTTTGTTTCACTGGCTGGTGTAGATTGAGGGGGTTTGCAGGCAACGTTTGTAGGAAAAAGGAAGAAAATAATGCAGTGAAGAAGAGGAGGCAGTTATTCATCATGGAGCTTCAACCAGTGGAGATCCAGAGGGTCTGCGTTGGGTTGTGGCTGATCAGGTGGGGAGGTGTGGCAAGGGCGCACACAGCGACCAGGAATCCAGAGAACTTTTTCAGGTAACTGAATTGCAGCGTAA